AATTCAGGCAATCTGCCTTTAATCAATGTAAGGACTATAACATTGTCTGACGTAGAGCTTAAGATATTGTAAAAAGAAAACCTCAATCGCGTTAAATTTATTAAACCTTGAAATTGCTCTTGGAGGGGTTTTAGTATTATAATTATAGGTATAGTCGCATTCCCAGTAAAGAAAAGGTCAAATTTTTAATTATTTAAAGATTTTTTAAGCTGGAAAAATCAATGTAAATATCAAAGTATACATTAAAGCATATGCATAATTAATTCTAGCATTTTTTTTGGGGGGAACAAAAATGGGCATTCGATTTCCCCCAACAGTTGTGGGAAAAATTTAGGGTAAGTCGTAAAAATGTGTCATATAAATGAAAAATCAGCTCGCTGGCCATTATCTTATCATTCAACACTCGGCTGACCGTCATATATAATCTGAATCAAATAAATAAACGGGAGGCTTTTTTCGCTGTCACAATGTTATTCCAATTGATGATATTCGCAACTTATTTGCTAATTAATTAACGATTTCATGTGACAGCGGGGGACTTTTAGATTGCGATCAGATAACTGATTACTGAATAGACACTTGAAAAGGTAAATAAATGTGGTAACAAATTATAAAGTTCCCAAATTAGCTAATAGATATTTATGTAGGTACAAATTAGAGGAACATATCACATGGATAGATACAATTATCCAGATACTTTTCGCCGCTGAATGAACCCGACACGTGGCAATTGGGAATCAATAGACTAGACCTTGGCTTGATTGTTGTTTTCTTTCGATCAATTTTGTTTTGGTTCTGTTTTTTCCGGTCTTCTTGCGCCACAATTGAATAACCAGTCAACAAAACACCGACCAGCATATCGGATTACATGCTTAAAAATAATTACCCGCCAGTGAGACTTACGAAAACAATCATATTGTGGATTTTTTAGAAGGTTTGTTAATTTATTTTGTTGCAGTTAAAACAGTTTTACTTATTCACGTTTCAAAGCCCAACAATGAAAACCCAACGCCAAATTACGTTTAGCCTAAAATGCCAGTCTGATATTCCCCGGGAAAAACAAAATAATAATAGTAATTTAATAAAATTAAAAACAAAAACTGGCACAGTCCCCGCAGGAATTATACACTCAGCGTTTGGATGTGGGATCTGTTCCGATCGGCCTACCTAAAGTTTCGTATTTGCTTACAAAATTCGAGTGAATCGCTTAGGACCTACTAAACAAGTTCTACGAAAGAAATCTAGGATTGCAATATTTGTGTGGTTGTGCTAATTGCTAAGTGTTATCTAGACGGGGTAGTACAAAAATATATATATGTATATGTTACATCTAAGTGGTCATCTAGATGCCGAGCAGGCACTCTCCGTCCCCAGGAGCGACCGCTGCGGCGAACTCCGCTGGCTACGCCTGCGTCACGAAGTACACCTCGCCGGAGGAGCCCACGACCACGGCGTGGGTGTCGCCTGCGCCTCCTCCCAAAGCCGCACTCTGGCCGGTGGCCATCATGTTGGACATGTCGGTGGTGCCGTTGCTCACGATGCTCATCGCCCCGCTGAAAGCATCGTCCTGTCCAGTCATCTGCACATCTGCACTGTGGTCCGTGCTCTCGACGTGCATCTGCAGTGAGTCCACGCTATCGTATAGATTTCCACACTCGCCGCACTTGAACAGCGGCTCCACCACATCCGGATGCTTGCGCTCGACGTGCCACTTGAGGTTCACGGCCGAGGAAAAGTTCTTTCGGCAGTTGGCCACGCCGCAGCAGTAAGCTCGCTGCTGGTGCGTCTGCCTGTGCCTGTACAGGATCGCCTTGGACTTGAAGGTGCGGTTGCAAATGGTGCACACCGGCGTGCTGGACTCCGCGTCGTGCGTCTTCATGTGCATCCGCAGCATTCCCGGGCCCTTAAAGCTCTTCAGACAGATCTCGCACTGCGGCTGCTTCTTGCAATTGGCCCGAATCCAGTTGGTGTGCGAGTGCATGTGGTTCTGCAGACCCTTGAACTGCCGGAACTCGGTGCTGCACAGGTGGCAGATGTACCGGCCCGATCCCAGCGGCGAGGTGTGCTGACGTATGAACTCCGTCACCAGGTTAGCGTCTATCTCGTAGTTGTCGTCTGCTCCAGCGGCAGCAATTACGCTGGCCGTCTGCACCAATTGGCGGGAGTTGGCCGCTGCCAGCTTGCTGCTGATCGTGGGTCCTGCGGTGGGTGGTTGGTGGTCGCAGGGTTCCAGCGTAACGCCGACCGAAGCCTGGTTGCCTCGCTTGGCCCGCTTAGGCGTAGGACTTGCCGAACTCACGCTCAGAGTGGGGGCCACCAGGGCGTCCGCCGTCGCAGTGGCCTGGCTGAACTCAACCACAGCGTTTTCCAAGGATATGCTCTGCAACTCCTCCTGCTGCTGCTGCTGTTGATTGTGCGCCTGGTCCGAGTCAAGAAAAGCTTGGTCAATGTCCACACTTGCCTCGCCATCTGGAGGCTCCATGATGGCGTATTGCAGGTCCTCGTCCACATCACCAGACAAATGAGGATCCTGCTCGTCCGCGATGAACTCACAATCCTGGTCTAACTCCTCTGCATCCGGATCGTCCAGCATTTCCTCGTCCTCCAGCTGGATTTCCTCGATTATGAACGTGTCTTGGTCTTCTTCGTGCTTAAGATGTTCGTCCTCATCTTCCATCTCATCTATTGCCTGCTGTTGGTCCAAATCGTCGAAGTACTCGTTCTCCTGACTTTCGCTTTGCGTGAGATCCTCGTTGATCATCACCTGGTGGTGCTCATGTTGGTCCTTGAGGAAGTCCTGCTGCTGGTCGTCATCCAGGACAATGGTCTCGAAACTGTGTTCTCCCTTGACGTCCAGCTGTTCGTACACCTCATCCAGATCATCGTCCTCTACTTCGCAACTGTCCTCTAGCAACTGCACGTCTGCATCCGCTAGAGAAGCACCTACATGCTGACCCATGTCCGTGGCGTTGGTGGTAGTTGTCACCGTGGTCACTCCGGTGGGCGCCAAGCTGCGCTGCGGAACCAACTGGACCAACTGCAGCGTCTGCGTTCCATTGGGCTGCTGTACAATCTGCAGTGTCTGTCCGTTGGGCGTCTGCAAGAGTTGGGGCAGGAATTGCGACTGCGCAGCAGTGGCTTGCCCATTGGCCGTCGCCTGCTGCGTTGTGCTGATGATCTGCGCGAGCTGCGGCGCCACAATCTGGGCCGTCGTGATCAACTGACCGTTGGGAAGCAAGATCTGCTGCGGCATAGTCGTGGTGGCGCCTGCAGTGGACAAAAGCTGTGTTGGAGCTGGCTGCAGTGTGGGCAATTGGATCTGCTGAATCTGTTGTTGAAGCGTGGGCGGTGGCGGAGCAGGGTCAGGCATGAGTTGCATCTGTGGCTGGGGAGCGGGTTGTGGGGCCGGGGCTGGGGCCGCCTCGAGATGCCGCTGTTTCTGCTGTCGCGATCCCTTCCGAAGCAGTGGCTTTAGCTTGGGTTTGGCCGGGGTCTGTTGCTGCTGGATTATTTGCTGTTGCTGCTGCTGCTGCTGATGCAGTTGCTCGTCAAGGAGCTTCTGTTGCTTTTGGAGCAGCCTCTGCTGCTTGCGCTCCAGCTGAAGCTGTTGTTTGGCAGTGGCCGCCTGCTGTTCCTCCATCACCAGTGCCACAGTCAGACCGCGAATGTACTCGCGCAGCTCCTTGTCGCTGCGCTCGACGAGCGTCTTGAAGGCGTGATTCCGGCTCACTGCGTGGACGCACTGCACGCAGATCTTATCCGGCCAGCCCTCCGTGGGCTCCACTCGGACATTGGTGCAGTCCATCAGCATCTCGGGCACCTTCTCGCTGAACAGGGGGCGCATCTCCTTGCGCTCCGAGATGCACAGGCGGCAGATCTTGTCCAGCTCCAGGACCTTCTTTCGATCCATTACTTCGTGTCACTTGGGGAGGCTGCAAAGGGAATTAATTAGCCTAACTAACACACGATAATTCAAAATAAAATCCCTGCAAGGTGCACGAGTACTGGGATTTGTTATGATTTGCCCGCCAAAATTCGCCAATTAAATTTCAGACTATTTTCATGTTGTTAACAGACCTGTTAATCCTCGCTGTTTACAGGGACCATTCACAGGTCTGGTAGCTCTTGCGCCAGACAGAGTCAGATATAGTGTTATACACAATTTACCATCTTGGTGTTGGTGTGAGCGAAAAATCAGATTTTCAGGCCCAAAAAACGAAACAAATACATAATCCTCGGACTTGAATGGGGCTAATGAGTTCGATTCACTTACTCCCGCACTGCGTGCTCCTTTGATTAGGGATTTACCAGCAAAATTCGCTTACCTGCGCTGTATTTATGTAATTTTCGCAGCGCCCCACGTCCAACACACAAAACTCTTCAAATATGGCCGCGTCACACAAAAAACCGTTCGAAACTCACATATTTGTGGTCTGGACAAAGCCCCGGGGTTTTGAAAGCAAAACAAGTGCACACACCAGTGGGTCTTTCGGGGACCCTAATCGAATGAAATAACTAGCTATCTGGCGACGTTATCAATAAAGTTCTCGATGAGATGAATGAATTTCTCCGCCAGCCGCTGAACTTCTGCTTCTGTCTTTCTCTGTGTGTGAGTGAGATGATAGGCGTGTTGCAAACGGCACTGCCAACTGGGAAAGGCGTAAAATGCCTAACGCGTTGCTATTCACCAAATCCATTTGTTTATATTTTGATTTTAATTTACCACTATGTTAATTGCCCTACGTTTTGAAAAAGGTTTTTTTCTTTAACTTAAAGTGTTCGGGTATGGTTAGCTTCAGTTTTTTATTAGTCTTACCTTTTCTTGTTAATTCATTTGCATTATGTTTCGCAAACTACGTTTTTTGAGGGTTTTTTGGGGCAATCCTTACTGTGCTTACATTTAATTTCACTATATATATATCATTTTTCACTTTAATAATTTTTTCGCACTCCACCCAACATTTTACAAGAATGAAATCCTATTTAACTTGACACACAAATTTAAAACAAAATTTAAGGACTTGGCAGTGGTGCTGCCAACCCGTTTATTATAACTGACATTTCGGAGTACAAACACCTGTTGAACTGTGTTTTTTCGGATTTACAAAACTTAAGGATAATGGTAATTTTTTAGGCTGGTGGTGCCACATTCGTATTAGCGAGGTCGTACATCTGCCGCTGCTTGTTCCTCCTGCTGTGGGTTCGTACTACTAGGTAGATACCCAGGATTACGGCGAGGGCCAAAAGCAGTGAAATCACCACAAACCACCCGTAGAAACCCGGTTCATCCTCATCGAAATCCTCCTCCTGGGCGTTTTCCCACTCGGTGAAGTTGCCCGAGGGATCCTCCTTCAGCTTGTCAGTCTTATGGTCTCGGAAAAGCGAGGCCTTGGCCAGATTATTTGATTCCGGGGCCATGAAAGCCGGCTCCGTATTGTCGATCCGGACAAAAGTGAGCTGGGCTCCGGCTAAAGGTTGTCTATAGCGCCTCAACCCGTGACCGTAATACTCGTATATATCAGCTCCAAACTCCCGATGCTGGTCCACCCACTGGCCAATCACCTGCACCTTCACCTCGCTCCTGGGATCCATGCTGCGTCCGAAATAGGCCTTCTCCGCCACATCCAGACCACCAACTCCATCCGAGTCCAACTCGAGGACAGAGCTACGGTGCTCGAAGAGAAGTGGCAGCCTGGCCAGCTTTTTATCCTGGTAAACACTAGTCATGTTTACGAGGATCTTCTCCACAAATTCGTAGTTCAGGCTACCGTAGATGGGCTTCCGTTCGCCACTGGGATTGCGGAGCACACTGTCGCCCAAGTGCATCTTGTAGCTATTGGAAACATTGCGCCACGGCAGGTAGGTGATGTTTCTCAGATGGTACATGAGTGGTTCCAGCTCCACTAGCACATTGATGTTGTCCTCCAGACCGTACTGCAATGATTTCAATTGTTTCAGTAAACCTACGGCACCATCTCCTCGAGAAACTCACAAAGTTATCGCCGAATATCATCACCACGCAGGTGAACAGATTGTCCGTCACGGCATTGACCAAATCCGTGTGAGGGAAGTGACAGAGCTCCGTCTTCTCACGCTCCACGTTCGTGGCCTTGGCAATGTATGTCAGCCGCTCCTTGGGATTCAGCTCGGCAGCATAGTTCCGAAGCACCATGTCGTATGGGACCCAGGCCAGAACCGAATTAGCTCCATTGGCACACACCTCCGACTGGGCACCCCGTCCCCTCAGCTCACCGTTGTGCAGCCGGAGAAAGTGGTGGTTGTCCCGCTTGACCGTCGTGGAACCATGATCCGCACACAGGGTGTCCACGAGGACCGCCTGCAAAAAGCCAGATAAAATTTTAGACGGGAAACAAGCACAAGTTCGTCAGTAGCCCCCATTCTTCGGCTTATCTCGTGCCCGCCGGTATTATCTTCCTCAGCTACGATGGACACTTTGTCTGTTTCTTTATCGTCAAGCTAATTCAATTTGGAATATCAACCACTCGAAGGTGGCACACGAATAATTTATGGCTCGCATCGGCATTGGATTTATCACTTAAGGATGTCGATGAGACAAACCCGTTTAGACGAAACAGATGTCACCATTTAAGGCAGGGAATTTTCATATAAATGGGGTCACTCTTTACTAAAAAGGAAAATATTTTATCTACCATACAACATATACAATAAATTGAAAATGCTTAAAACATTTAATTATGTTTAGAATTGTTAGTTTTCAAAGTGATTTGCTTACAAAATTTGGCAATTAATGTTATTTATATTTATTTCTGGCAGACAGACAAAATAACAAATTATCACCAAGAAATATTTAAAAAAAAATATGAGTAACTTGTTACATGATTATAAAACAAAACCTTTAAAAGATACTGCTTGAATACAAGTTAGATCAGCAACAATTATATTTAGTCTTCGCAAAGCACAGATACCGATAAAATTAAAAAAGGGTCTAGGAAAATTATTTTATAAAATGAACCCAAGATATAGTGATTAGCACTAGAAAAATATTATTAAAACTTGTATAACTTTGAATATTATAATCAACCAAAATGGTCTTCCACATAGTTTACAATAGTAGATACTTTGTGCTAAACTTGCTATTTACAAATTTGTTTACCGAATGGTGTGTTGAATAGCTTATCATTCGGTATTCCCATATGCTAATGATTCACCTTCTCGTTTTGGGTCAACGTGGTGGCCTTAATATGACACTGCAGATCCTTCTCGCTGGGGATAACCACATGTCGATCGATGTGCGACAGGAGCAGCGGTTCCGTCTCGATGCAGAAGTGCGGGTGCTCCTTAAAAGCCGTGCCCAGAGTCACCAGCAAGGTTAGGCATCCGATGATGTTGGCTTGCATAAACATTTCCGCAGTTCCAGTGACCAGAGTTCTTGGATTCAATTGCGCCGGAGCCGTCGATCAGCACACGTCGGTGGACAAGTCGTAACTAAATTTGAAATTTTAAAATGACAACTGAGCGACGGCCTATTCAAACGCATTAAACTTGACCGCCGAGCAATCACACAACGAACGCCCGAGTATCACCATATTTATCTACTGATGAAGGATTCGGTCGAGATTTACTTCGATTTTCGGTGAGAGCCGATCCGTATTAACGTCACCGCAATGCCAGTTAGTGAGTAACGACTGAAGGGAGGAATTCGCTTCCCAACTTGGAGTCCACATTCGGCGATAAGATAATCGAGCAACGACTAGCAAGCATTCGACTCAAACTCCAAACCAAATGTGTAACACCAGTGACTCTATGCTACGCGTGAATATTAGGGTGAATCAATCTGCTTAATACAGAATATGTTTTGTAGACAATTTTAAAAACAAAAATGATCTACCTTACTTTTTTCAATTCGACTCTGAATTAATAATATCCTGAACTTTAAATACAAAATATCGTCTATCAAGATAACTTCCAGTTAAATTAAATGTTTTTAAAACAAATAAATGTAGTTATCAATTTGCTTGAATTTATGCTCCATATGATAACTTAAAAAAAAATACAAGTAGAAATGCATTTTATGAATTTCCAAAACGAAATATTTAATTTTTTATGAAGCAAGAAAAGCCTGCAATGGTTTAAATTAAATAAAGACAAATGTGTTGTTAAAAAGTAGGGCTTAAAATTATACAAAAATTGGAAATTGGTTCTAGGGTTTTACAGCATACAGTCAACATTTGATTCTAACAAGATCATTTATTTTTCTTTAATAGCAAAAGTATACAATTCTTATTTATGTTTGTACAAGTGGAAATTGTTGGACAATTTACATATTTAATTCTCACAGTCGGTATTCATCATGCGATCCCATTAACAATCTTTTGCTGGCTATAATGCTTTCCTGCGGCATTCGTATTTGATTTGTACAAAATTCAAAAATAACAATCTAAATGTAACAGCTTACTGTCTAAATCACTAAAACTATCGACGATTGTTGATCTCATCCCTCGGGGCGCGCTGCGGACAACAAAGAGGATCAAACGACACGAGAAGAGACATTGGGAGAACAATGGAGCAGTGGTGGATCGGTGGAGGAGCAGTTGTGTTGGTGGTGTGGAGGAGGAGTGGGCTCAATCTAGGGGTGGAGAAAATACAAGTCGTACACGAACAGAGTCTAGGGATCTTGAGTTACCGTCTGAGCTGCTTCTGGCAAAGTATTCGAGGACATCTTCAAAGTCACCTGTGTCGTCGCCATTGTCGCTTCCGTCGTCGTCGTCCATGTCATCATCATCGGAGTCCAGCAGATCTCCGTCGTCGTCGTCTTCATCGAGGTCCCCGTCATCGTTGTCCGAGCCGTTAAGGTTGCGCAGCAGCGGGAATCCCATGAAATTCGGACCTAGACCAAATGCTACGGGATGAGGCTATTAAGGAACTTAGTTTAATGACTCAAAGGTAACTTACTGTTCTCGGAGCCCGTATCCGAACCGTCCTCATCAGATTCGGGCACCTCCTCATCATCTTCCTGCAAGCATAGACATAATATTTAGTTCAATATCATCCATCCGCCGCATGAGGGTTCTCAAATCGATGGCAGCGCCGATTCCGACTCCGCCACCGCCATTTAGATTCAGATTCCCATTCCCGGTGCCACTGCCATTGCCACCCAGTGTACGTGCCCGCCGTCGCACCCCAACAATTGAGCTGTTGGGTGCATGTTGGCGAGAAAGATTCGGACTTGCGTTCAGGGCGGGACTTAGCCGGCGGGGCTGCTCCTCCACAAATTCGTTGGGGGCGGCGGGCGCCGCGTTCTCCCCCGGCTGTGGGCGTGCCGGTACTTCCTCAAAGACGCGAAGCAACGAAGCACCGCCAACATCGTTGGCATTTGCCGGCGCCGGCGCAACTGCGTCCGCCACCTCGCTGGCCAGCTCCTTAACCGCACGCACCTCTTCCGACCGCTCGCTCTTCTTTACGCCCACTGCGTAGATCTTCACGTAGGTCTCCTGCTTTGACTCGTAACCGCTGTAGTCCTCGACCACTGCGATCAGGCTCCCGTTGGCGCTGACGCTCAGATCGTTGATGTTGCGCTTCACGTCAATGGTCGCAATGCTTGAGTAGTCGTAGGCGTCCAGCACATTGAAGCTGGTGTCGTACGTGGTCGTCTCCATGTCATGGTCCCTATCCGCCCCCAAACTAGCTCCGTATATCACGTGCATCGGGGAGAAGGTGCAGTTTCGCTGATCCAACACCGGCACTGTCTGCAGCAGATGGAAGGTGCGCAGATCCCACACCTCGGTGTTCGCGATTATCTATTTTGGTCGTTAGAGTATTAGTATGGAAGTGATGGCTATATCGCATAACTGAACCTTACCTCCAGGCAATTTGGATGGAAGACGCCCGATATGCACTGATTGAACTTATCGAACTTGTGGATTTCCTTTCCGGAGCGCACATCCCAAAGAACGCCATCTAAAAAATATATTTATTATATTATTATAACACTGCAATAAAATACATTAAATTCTGCTAAGGAAACCAACATCGACATTTTTATAAATAAAGACTTATTTGCTATAAATATATAAGATTTAAATAAATTTCGTGAACTGGTGCGCTATTACACTATTTACATGCGAACGATAACTAGAATTATGAATTCCATTTAAATATATTTCAACAATTTTTTAAGCTAATTTAAGTTACATATTTTAAATAGTTTTTAGATGATGTTAAAATGTTTGAAAATGATAAAATGTATATTTAGATAAACAGCTTAACGAAGACAAACTACAATACTTTATTTATTTACCCGACAAAATCAGCTCATCGGTTCGGCAAAGAGTGGCCCGATTTTTTGTGTATAGATTAGGTATAGTTGGCGTGAAAGAGGCCACCTTGGAGCCGGTGTTGATGTCAAAGAGCGTTGCGCACTGCAAACCAAATGAAAAATATTAATTCATTTATCAATGAGATTTAAATCTTCCTATTAACTCGAAACAAACCTCATTCTGTGTGCCCAGGAGGCGATCCTGCGCCGTCTGACTAAACTCACAGTAGGTCACATCGGGAAGGCGCAGCTTCAGCTTAAACTCATCGTCCGCAATGGACCACAGAATGCTGGTTGGCGTGCGCCAGAAGCTCGACGTAATCACTAGATCCCCAGCTCTGTTTGCCTTAATGGCATCCACGCTGAAGTTGTGGCAGTTGGAGAAGAATTGCTCCACGCCGTCGTTCATGTTGAACACTCGTCCGTCGCCCTGCTGTGTGCCCACGATGATATACTTGCCCACCAAGTCGCAGCAGGTGAACTCAAGATCCTCGTAGTCCGCCGACCGAATGCTGCGCCATGGCGAAAAGTGCGTGTGCACATAGCGTCGGTCAAAACGTCCAGTATTGAATCCCGCTTGAGTACGGGCATGTCTGCTGGTCAAGTTGTAATTGGAGCTCAACAGTCGACTGGGCTTTGGATCCGGACACTTGTGCGGCTCGTACAGATCAAACTGCGGGCAGGTGGTCACAGGATTGTTGCACAGCGAGTGTTGGTTGGTGAGGTATTCCGTTACGATGGTATTTAGGGTAATCCTCTTAGGGTGAAATTGTGCTTCATCTGGAAGACCCACCGACATGCCACCGGGCTCCATCATTTGCTTTTGAATCGACCGGCTCACCGAGTTCCGGTCCGTTCTTCTGATTTTTATGGGCGTCTGAGTCGTGTTAAGACATCCAAAGTTGGGTATACTGACTCCTTCTACAGCGTTGCTACTGCCTGCTCCTCCAGCTGGTGATGAGTCCTCGCCGAAGCTTCTGTTTAGGTCTCCGCTGGCCATTATCGCTGCATTCACATCCTGCATGCGGCTCCGCAGGCGATTTCTGGACAAAGACCCGCTCCCACTAGGAAGTGATTTGTAGTCGAAAGGTGACTGATGGAAGCTACGAGTGGTAGGTGTCTGCAGCGGAAGTCCCACTTCGCGCTGCAGCATTTGGGCGGTTTGGGGAAGACCATTGCTTTCCAGGTGTTCGAAGATGAGCTGGTACAACTGCTGCTTGTTGTACTGGATGCGCGTCTGGGCAATCACATTGGCTTTGTGCATGTTGGAGAGCGACGGATCAAGTGGATTGTTCAGCGGCTTGGTTTTGCCGGACACTCGTTCGAGCAGCTCTAAGGCGTACTTCTGGAAGATCACGTGTTCGGCGCGCTTCTCCTGAAGGATGGGATCCCGCATCAGAGTCTGGAGTTGTCCACTGGCGAATAGGGGAAGTTTGCTGACGATCTGCCGGACACGATCCGACCGCGCTAGTCCCGCCAGGGCTCTACAGGCCATTCCTCGGATGCAGTCCGCATCCGTAATAGGTCCTTTGGTCTGCATCAGTGAGAGCAGAACTACGATTCCGTTGTTGGAGCACACAGACTCCCATACTCGCTCAATTAGCTCCTCGGCATACTTGTGGTTGGCTTTGTTCTTTCTGGAGGAATTACCGAATTTAATCAAGCTAGTGCCGCTATCCTTGCGGATAATAGGAGAGCAGACGCAGTGGCACAGCACCGCCAGTGCCGACTTGAGCACCTCCGCATCCGAGGTGATCTCTCCAGCAGCAGCTCCCAGTACCGAACAGAATCCCGAGGTGGTGGACTTGTCCAGCATCAGCAGACGCTCGCAGAGCACCACATAAACCCGAGGGATAATGCAGCAAACACTGAGCACGTCCAGAGCCGAACGCACAGTCTCAGAGCGCCCGCTGTTCACCCAATCGTAGCTGAAGCCGATGATCCTGAGGAGCATGGTGATTCCGCCGAGCTTCATCAGCTGATCTACCGGTTGCCAGTGCGCCCGGATCGAGGTATGCTCCTGGAGAGTGCGAATCTGGTCGTGCAATTGGTCGAAGTTCAGCTTGGCCGCAACTGTGGGATTCTGGCTAAAGAAGTGTGCCGAAGATGGCGACGAGGATGCCGCGTTGTGCTGGCACAGGAAGCTGTTGTACTTGTAGAAAAAGTGCGCCTCCATGTACCTCTTGAGCGCTACACAGACGTGGCGCACCATTTGCCGGGAAGCACACTCTACGTCTTCGTTTATATCCGAGTCATTGTCGCTGTCGTTGTGGCTCGGATCAAGGATCTTGAGCACGGAAATCTATAAGACACCAGTGGAAAATTAAGTAATTAGTATGAGGAGAAATTACTATAATTTAAAGTACACTTACCACATTGTAGAGCTTTCTTAACCCATCCTGGGCATCAAACTCCTCCAAAATGACCTTAAACTGGAAGCTCAGACTGAAGAACATAGTGGCATGGCACTTGGAGGAATCATGGCAACGACCCAGGATCCAAAGTGCGTAGCGCACCAGCTCCGAAATGAGAGGACGTTGCATACTGCATATGCGCTCCATTGCGTCCTCGCAGTATGCTAGGTAGTACACGGCGATAGACACACCCGTGGTGGCCAAACTGGGTCGTGGCACCTTTAACAATAGCTATAGGAAAAACAAAATATTAAATAACTAATCATTCAGGTATTAAGATTCACTGACCTCCAGTCCGCCGTGTGAAATAAATTCTAAAGCAAACTTCTTGTGACAAAGAAGAGAAGCCAGATATTTCAGCACTTCGTAGGCCAAACAAGTGTCCCGGCGATCCAAATTCTCCAGGTAGCCAAAAATCAGCTGCATCACATTGTTCTCGAAGGCCATGGCTAGGAACTCTTGATATTCGCCCAGGCTGGTCAGGAAGCGCATGATTAGCATTTGGCTGGTGTCCGCCGTGGGCGGATGCAGTGGGATGTACATCCGTTTGTAGTAGCGGGAAACGGAAAAAGCATCCCTGCTGTTCTCGAAGAGAATCGACATATTAGAAGCGTCGCCATGCTGCGATGAACTGGCTCCCATGCCACTGCCGTTGTGCTGCGGTGACTGCGGTGCAGAGGCATTGCTGGCACAGGCCACCCAACTAAGCATTCCCCCTACACTGCTGTCTGCCGATTGGTTGTGCTGCGAGTTATTGACATCGGGAGCAGCGCTCTTACTGATGGCCAGCAGCATGTGCAGGCGCTTGATCATCTTGGGTACCAAGCGCATGTTCTGATCTCGGAAATTAATGGCAATGTCGCTCACTTCCATGGCTTCGGCCAAAAGTCCGGTGGCATAGCTTTGGAGGGGTTCGATGCTGTCCTCCGCCCAGGAGTAGATACGGTTGATGGTTCCATCACCTTCGGCGGTCTGGAATACTGCTGAAGTCTCCATGCCTGGCATTATCTCCAGGATGAGGCGACATGCCAGGATGTTAAGTTCTAGTGAACTACGGCTGACGTTCTGGCGACTAAAGTAATTCTCTCGCAAGTAATCGTTGAGTAGCTAATGGGGCAAAATAGTACATTTTAATAAGTAGGTGCAGTAATGGAGCAGCTTAAGTTAGAAATCAGTTATAAGAATTATATGATGAAACCGTTGAAACAACTTAATTATTTGTATGCTTAATTTCTCGTTGATGTTTTGCATTAATATTGTTTTTCAAAAATATTAATAGGTGCCTACGAATAGTTATTTATTTATAATGTAAGAGTTTTGAAGAAAAAAAAATATTGTTTAAAGTTTGATGCCTTCTTTGGCTGTCTATGTTCTTGAAATATTAGTCTTATATTTTCTTCAAAAACAAAAAAAAATTTACAAAATCTTTCAGTAAAAACCCTATAACAATCCAATTTAAGTGTCAGTCTAATAAAAATAATGGGCATTAAAAACCAATTTGTTTAAAACCGATTTTTTACTTGTGACCAAATGTTAATTAAGTTAGTTAAATGGAATTTTTCAGAGTTTAATTGCAAAATCCTTAGATTTATCAACTTGAAGTGATTTGGCCTAAATGGCTTTGCTAGTAATGGCTAGTAATATGGAATATCTTTAGATATTAAGACCCCTGTCTTACTTTGCTCATAAAGGTGTCCTTGCGAAAGAGCAACTTCAGTAGTAGTCCGTACTGGCAGCTGGGATCGGCTCTATATGGATGTCGCGAATCCAACGGATCCGGGTCCTTGCGCCGGTATACGTCCTTCTCCCGCTCAAAGATCTCAGCCAGGCTAAGAAAACCAAGCAGGTTTGAGTTAGAGGAGTTAACGGGTTGGTATTGTATAGCTTTCTTACCTTCTCAGAGTTGGCACTGGGTCGTAGCCATTCTGGGTCTGCTGCTGCTCCCACTTGTCGATGATCTGGGTGAGCTCTTTTTTGGTGGCCTGGCGTCTGTCGGCGGCAGCAGTTTCTTCCGGATTTCCACCGCTTTCGCTTTCGTTTTCCACACTCATGGCATCGCCTTCTGCCTCGGCGTCATCCTCAGCCTCCGGTTCCCCCTCGTCCTGCTGTTCGGCGGGCTCATCCTCCTGATCTCCGGCTGCATCCTGGTCCTCCTCGGCCTGTGCCTCTTCATCTTCGCTTTGGTAAGCCACTGCCACCGCCTCTGCCATCAGCGCTGCCTCCGTCGCAGCCTCTGCTGATGCCTCAGTCGACGCCTCTGCTGCAGCCTCTGCTCCGGCTGCATTTTCGCTTCCACTGCCCTCAGACATTGAAATATATTACCCGGACTCGGGTGCACTAGCACTAGTAGCAGACGCACTCTTAGTTAGTAACTAGACACTCCAAAACCTTCTCCCAGTGGCGAAATAAAGCGTGCGGCATAAAATACCACGCGCTCGAACTTTTCGCACGAAGTAGTGTGACCGCTGGCAACAGGCCAGAAAAGCCTGATGCCAAAAATACCAAAGCAAAACTGATATTTTCAGCTGACACACCAAATCTGTTTTGTTTGTGCCCGACAATTATCCGTTTATTTATAAATTACAGATATATACATCCTTAATGTACATTGGCTTACATATTCGAGAGCATACAATCCCTTTCCTTACATTATCCTTAATTGAGTTTACACTTTAATCCTTTTTCCCACGAGTGAAAAAAGGCGCGCTCAATTTGTTTCGCACAAAGTAGTAAGACCGTTCTCGAATGTGCGAGAAAAGTCGCGACCGAAAAATACCAAACTAAGAGTGTGGGGGTTTTCCGATTCCTGCAATAAGCCACACTAATCGGATTGTTTTGTTTTGTCGGCCGATTAGCCGTAAATATCTACGTATATATCTTTCAAATTCGGTTGAAGTACTCATCATGGCTTTCCTCTATATACTAGGGTGGATTTCCCTGGGCATACAGATCGTTTTCCTGACATTATCCATAGGTGAGATGTACTTACCCGATGTGTTGGCCTGACTGCAACGTCTGCAATTGTTTTTCTAGTGGCTGGCCTGTATTACCTGGCGGAATTGGCGGAGGAATACACGTCGGCGGCGAGGAAGTGCATCCTCTTTCTGATTAGCTTTACGATCTTCGTATACATCCTGTTGATGCTCTTCGAGGACCTGCCGTGGAGCCTTATAATATGCGGATTTGTGGCACAGGGTTTCCATCTGGGGATCATGGGAGGATTTCCCTTCGTGCGACTGCTCTCCCTTCCACTCCTGGGATCCTTGGCCATGCTGCTCGTCAATCACTTCCTGGCCTTCCAGCATTTCACCAGCGTTTATGTGCCTTTTACGCAGGTGAGCGACGGTCAGGGGCTTCAAAGGTTCAAAAATATGAAAAACGTATATGTTGCATAAATCATCAGAGGGGGAACACTTTACCTATGTAGATAATTATTACCCTTTCTGGGTGTGATTTTAAATTATTATTTAAATGTACAGCTTATAATATATACCACTGGTTAATTATTTGCGGTATATAGTTGTTGATAATCAGCACAGATTACATTATTAATTAATTAATTAATCTTTTTATTTTGTATTCACATATTTTTATGTACAAAAGAAAAGGAAAAATGTTACTTTCATTTTTATAAATGATGCTTTTATTAAGGAAAACTATGGATATAGTCTTCTATAAAATGCATGTATCCGCAGAAGCGGATTAGTTTGAAGTATTTCCCATAAAATTAAGTTAACTTAATTTAACTAATACAATTATTTTCCTCAGGTGCTAGCTTACTTCACCATCTGCATGTGGATCGTGCCCTTCGCCCTGTTCGTATCACTCAGTGCTAATGATAGCGTCCTGCCCACCACCGTCAACGATCAGAGCCGGCTCAGTCCGGACATGGTCAGCAATTACTTCTCGCGAAACAAGAAGCAGGGCCTGCTCTCCCTGTTCCAGTATCTAAAGGAGGCCCTGCTCCCTGGACGGACCAAGAAAGCCTTCTAGATGTAGTTTATTTAATGTTTATTTATTTTTGTAGCCGCAATCGAGACAAAAGTATACAAAACGTATGTAAACTACGTTTATGCAATGAGATTCGCAATTGATTTATTTAAAAATGGACCTAATAGATATTTTACGGTTTGATTATAAGGATTCATAAATTGTTCTTATCATGGATAGTTGTACAAACGAAATTTAATTTTAATAGGGTCACCGTTTAGGTCATATACTATTGGCAAATTTATCTTATATGCTGGATAGGTCAACGTTTAAGAGAAGTTTATCAATGCAAAAGACAAAGTCAAGCTTTATTTATATTTGTGAAAATCTTCACCTCTCAGGAACATCATTATTATAGATAAATGCAAAAAAAGCGCTTCAATGGCACCTCAAAATTTATTCAACAAAATATAATGGATAATCAAACTTTATTCCGAAACCCCTAAAAACTACTTGTTCTGGACCTTGACATTGCCATCGGCCATGCCGAAATAACACTTTTGGGCCATGTTTACAAACAATCCCGTCTCGAGAACACCGGGAATCATGGTAATGGCCTTGTTGACCTCGTCCCAGTCGTACTCCCTGTTGGCAATAAACTTCCAGTCCAGCAGGAAGTTGCCATTATCCGTGACAATGGGTCCCGCTTTGACCTTGGCCATCCGCAGCGAGGCTTCTCCGCCGAACAGCGCTTCGATGTGGAGCTTGATGGGCACATAGGCCATGGGGGCCACCTCGATGGGAACTCCGCGGCACCACTGCTCGCCCAAGCGAATGGAGTTCTTCGTGTAGTCGGCCACTACGATGAAGTTCTTGGCGCAGGAGGCCACCACCTTCTCCTGGAGCAGGCAGCCACCGCCACCCTTGATCAGCACCATGTGCCGGTCCACCTCGTCCGCCCCGTCGATGGCCACGTCTATGTTGGGGTTCCTGTCCAGATCGCCCAGGTTCAGGTTGTAGTCGAGGATCAAGTGGTGCGCCTGATAGGACGAGGGCACGCAGATGAGATCCGTGAGCTCCCCCTCCTTCCACACGCGCTCCGCAATTCGCTGGACAGCATAGACGACGGTGGAGCCGCTACCGATGCCCAGAATCTTCGTATCCTCCGTGACCCATTGATCCACGGCTGTGCGGGCCGCTGTTTTCTTGGCCGCGTCTAAAGCAATGTCATCCATCTTGCGGATTTGGGAGTAGAGTATGGGTGCCCCGCGGAATAGTTGTTCACCGAGATGTTGGATGAGCTGTGGTCGCTGGCCGCCTCTTTGCAATAACCCAGATAACATGTGGTTAACAGCTTTCGGTTTTCAATCGCAACTTCAATGTCACAGAGATCAAGCCGCCTGCGGTTTGGGTGACGCGCTAGGGATTTCTCACCGTTGCGCCGTCCAAGGTAACAGCACTGTTAGCTTGGGCGCGAAAACGTCAGTTATTTCAACTAAGAATAATGGTTACAAAGGGTGTAGTGTAGTTGTCATAAAAAAGGGAGTGTTTTTAAGTATTGTCCGGGAGCTCCTGGCCCCCTTTGATATTTCACACGGACATACTAAAAGAGAGAAAGCCAAAATATCGAAACATGATAAGGTACTAAGCTTACAACTATAAACACTAAATAATTTTTTTTTCTCACAGAATCTTAATCTTAAAAATAAATCTTAATAAATATATATTATTTTTTTGTAAGAGCTTTTCAAATTATTATTTTCTTTATTACCCTCTATAAAAAAAAAGTAATACGGTTATTTAATACAAGTATATTTTAAATATAATTTTTTCAAATATGTATATTATTTTATGTTTAAAAAATTTGTATTTTAAGATGTCAAAGACTAAAATTTTCATATAAAAATAAAAAACACCAATCGAAAGTTTTACTTTTTTATTAAACATTTTAGAGAAAGGAGTAATGTTTCCAAAAAATACAGACATACTTCACCTAATCGGATTCTTTACAGATTGTGAAAAATAAAAATAACATTTTTGGTAAGTAGCTTGAATGTTTATTTGTGTCTCAAACTTATTTTCGGTTAAATTAAATAACACAGTTAAATTCAAAGAAAGATTCTGATTTAGTCAAAACTTTAATTTTAACTGTCAATTAGATAAGAGCTTTTTAATGTTTTTATTTTTATAAATTGCGTATATTAGCAAACAAAAGAACCAAAACTACTTATACTTTTTTTACCACTCAATCATATGTATGTACATATTTCTTTCTTTTGGCACATGTTTCTTATTAGGAATATTAACCTTAGTATTCAAAATTTCGTTTTATATTGATAAAAAATGAATTCTTCAAGTTATGTTCTTTCCACTTTTTTAGGTACGTGGGTCCATAACCACTTTGGTCAAATCGAACGTTACCACTTTGGGGGCAAGGAAACCCCCGTAACCAGGACGACCTTTGTAATATATTCCCAATCCTGCGAGCGGAACTGCTGGATGAGGCACCACCTCCTGGACATCCACAAAAGGCAAAGTGTTCTGGGAAGCATCCTTCAGCTGACTGGAGCTGACAAACTCCAAGAACTGGTTATCTTTGGAGAGCGGTAGCGAAGGCAAATCAGAGGCAGTGGGCAAATCACTCTCCTTTAAAATCATTTTCTTTCTGATTCCCTCAAAATGGGAATTATCGTTGCCCAGCCAATAGCTCTTCGTCTGCGGTTCGATCAAAATACCGTTGGAGAAATTAAAGAAACTGAAGCGTACCTCCAGGTTCAGGTGTTTGTTGAAGATCCGGAAACGCACTCCGGTCACCACTTGGTCCGTCGAGTTGACTGAGATCTCATCCAGATCGAAGGCTCGGCTGTCCACGCTCAAGGTGTGGAAGTCGTAGCCATCGCGAATGTCCACATCACTCACGTTGTAAGCTTCCACAGGTTGCCATTCTAGCGAGGTGATATTGATAGATCCTCGGGACAGGAGTTCGGCCTGCTGCAGCTGCAGATGGAAGACGCGGTTGCTCTTCACAAACCTGACTCCAGTCACAACCTTGTTCTGCTTAAAATCCGACATGGAGTCGCGCAGATTAAAGTAGCGATCGGACAAGGGTCCTGGTTCATCGCACAGGCAGAAACAGTAGTGGCAGCGCATAACGAGCCATCTCGACCAGGAGGCTGGCTCCCTGATCTCGGAATTACAATCCTCGTTGTGACCGTTATTGTTTAGTGCAATGTACTTATAGCGCCTTGAGGAGTTGTTGGGGGACAGGCAGATCGACATATCCGACTCGGCCAAGTCGCAGTTGTAGAGTCTGCCCTTGCAGGCGGGTTGCTGGCCACAGAACTCCTCCTCCGGTTGATAGCAACCAAACGAGCGGGTGTCATGGTACTCCGGGCAACTGCCCCAGCAGTTTTGTCCCTCATTCAGGTTTATCTCGTTCTCCACGAAGCCTTGCAGAAAGCGGGTGACGCGGTCATAGGTTTTGCCCTCCACATGCCCATCTTCTCCGGGATCGCAGCGCCAGTAGAGGCGGCTGCTTTTGGAGACGACCTTCTGGAGTACTTGCAGAGCATGTTGAATGCGTTTCTGGTAGTTCTCTCGCATCAGTTCCAGCTCCTGGGTGAAGTTCCCACGCCCGGACTCGCGCAGCACCATCCAGGAGAACTCCATCATGCTGTAACCCTTCAGCTCCGTGAAAGCTGCCTTGGTGAAGAGCTGGTAGGCGAACTGCTGGGCGGACTGCCTGGCCAGGCACATTTGATCCGGAGAGGTTTCAAAACTGACGGTCAGTCCCGAGAGCAAGGAGTCACCTGAGTAAAGAAGGTCGTGAAGTAGTTTCAACAACCAGGGCAGCGAATTGGAGCCAGGATCCACGTTCCACTTGGCGAATTTCACCAGTGTGGTCGGCTCCAGTGAGTCCTTGTGCTGCTCGTAGCCCTCCAGTTGCTCGTAGCGGAGATCAATATACTTGGTGAGGTCCTTTAACTGGTTGAGTCGGTGAAGCATCTGGGACTTGTCCTGCATCTCCCTTAACAGCGTCTCCATGATCAGAGCGGTGTTCTTGGCCTGCTGCTGCTCCATACTCCGGATATTCTCGTTCACCACCTCAATCTTTTCCATCATCTCGCGCTGATTGTCGTAAATCAAGGCCCCCGCGGCGATCTCCGCCACCGGCAGCTTTTCGATTAGATCCCACGACTTGAGGATGGTGTGGGTCACCTCTTGGATCACCCGAATAATGTCCAATGTTTCCTGGACCGCTCCTCCATTTGCGGGAGTTGTAAGCACGCTAAGTGCGTACAAAACCAGCAGAAATTTCATGGCCTGCAAACAAAAATAAACAAACAAAATTCAATTAATGCGAATTGGACACATTTTTTGAGTATCTGCTTACACAATTGAATTCCCTTCAAGCTGCTGCAAATGGTTATGATACTCTAGAATTACGCCCGATCACTTTGAAAGATTCGCTCAAACTGAGAACTTCAAACTGACGCTCGTACCATATGTATGCTTCCTCTTCTCCATTAAAAAGGAGCTGCTAACGCCTTCCCAGCTTTATTCAGTATTAATAGTTGGGGTATTCCCTAAAAGCCTAAACAGACCCTTCATTTTATTTTTATACCCGTTACTCGTAGAGTAAAAGGGTATATTGTATTCGTGCAAAAGTATGTAACAGCTAGAAGGAAGCGTTTCCGACCCTATAAAGTATATATATTCTTGATCAGGGTCACTAGCCGAGTCGATATAGCCATGTCCGTCTGTCCGTCTGTCTGTCTGTCCGTCTGTCCGTCCGTATGAACGCTGAGATCTCGGAAACCATAAAAGCTAGAAGATTGGCATTTTGCATGCAGATTCTAGGAGTTCCTACGCAGCGCAAGTTTGTTTCAAAAAGGTGCCACGCCCCCTTTAACGCCCACAATCGCTTATATACGATTTTAAAAATTTAAATATTTCGGAAAAGTAAAAATGCAGGTTTATTGTGTTTATCAATACCTATCGAAATGTAGAATAAATTTTTCAAATCGGACCATTCGTTAAAAAGTTATGCGTGATCAAAGTTTCTATCTCCATCTCCCTCGCACTCCCTTTACCTAAGTAACGGGTATCTGATAGTCGGGGCACCCGACTATGGCGTTCTCTCTTGTTTTTATTTATTTTAATTAGTATATAAAATTGACGAATAGCTGACCAATATTTAAGAATTCAGTCCGATTCTTAATTCGTTTTGAAAAGAAAACTAAAAAAATGAAAAGGACGTTATTATATTTTTAAATAAAATCACTCGCCACTATAATACCCTAAACGCAAAGAAAATCATTTAAGAGTGCCTTATTTCCGGACGATGAGCAAAGTCGAAAAGGGGAGTCCCAAACAAATGGAATGCACAATAGTTGCACAAAAAAGCATGCTTAAATACATATGTACATATGTACAAACATATACCGAAAATATTTGAAGAAATTTAATACTTTTAGTGCACAAAGCGAGAACTGTTGAATGCCAAGCGATAAAGCTGAAAGGCAAAACACAATCACAAAGGTGATTGCAATTTTTCTCTAGCCAAGCAGCAGGCGGAAAAGCTGGAAAACCGGAACACGAGAGCCACGTGAATGGTCAGGAGAAGACACACAGATATAGAAAGCGAGAGGACGAGGACGAGGATGGGGGATGTGAAAAGATAGTGGGCCAAAGAATTTGTGTTAATGGATTTCACTTTTTAAGAAATAAATTACTATCTCCGGCCGGAGGGGAAAATCGGAGGCCAAGCCGCAAACAAAGTTCCAAGCAGTTTGCATGATTGGATGGGGTTTTGAGTCATTAGCAAAAAAGATGTTACACAAAGGCGGCCGAATGCAGGAAAATTCCATCAGTTTGGGGGATTATAAAGAGGATCAGTAGGGGATTCGATACCCACCAGTCCTAGTAGAATTACTGAAAACGGAGCTCTGTTATTGCAAGTGAACATAAAACAAAAGCGGCCCAAAGTAAACAACAATTAAATGCAACACAGAGGGTTCTGAAACAAAAAAAAATCGGGGAAACACAGCAAATGCAAATTGTTAATTAAAGAAATGGGCATTGTTTAATGCGCCCCATGTGAAATGTTCCGTGCCAACACCTGCCTCCCATTTCTTCCCCTTTCTCGGCGCCCTTCTCAATTACTCGTGGAAAAACATTATACATACATACATACATACCTATGTATGTACATAAAAGAAATAAGAAAAACCAAATGGAATTCTTTTTTTTGGGGCCTGAATGTAAAGGTACCCTGCAAGCTTAATATTTCTATGGCAATGATCCAGTCCTGACCTTAATAAACTTATGATTTCTGGCATTAAACATACCAAGTATAACAAATATTAAATATCCTTATAATGCTATTTAAATATTTATATTTATTTTTAGAATCAAAATTTTGTTTTATGTTAAGAGTTTTATGTCGATGCGAAACCTTGTTATGGAGCAAAATGATTTTTAAATTAAATGAAAATTAAAATAATTTTTGTCGTCCGTTTCGAAACACTCGTTTTCAAGCATGGCAAAAACTGAAAATTTGTCCTTTTTTTAAGAACCAATATGATTTAAAGGGGTATATGGTAAATTCATATTCCAAATTTTAAGTAAAATTCAATATTAAAAGCATTACGATATTTAAACATTAATTTCAATTAACACCTCTACCGCAGAATGACAAATTAAGCGTGCGAACATCATTGCCTTTAAAATAAATACCCTCTGAGGGGTATTAATATTTGAAAAAAGAGCGAGTTAAGGGCGAAGAGTGCAAATGGACCTGCGACCCAGATGCAGCTGCCCCGACATCCATTATGGACCCACAGCACCTTAAATAGGAGCTGAAAAAATGTCGGAAAAGTGGGGAAAGGTGGAGGAAAATGCAGGCTGGATTTCCCTTTGTGCGAGTTATGATTGCCCATGCTGATGATGACAATGTCGACTGTCGGGGGCTCTGCATCGAACGACTTTCCAATGGGCACGATTTATAATTTGATTAGCGCATCGCTGAATGCACAAGGAAAAGAAAATCACGCTCAAAAGTCAGGCGGGAAGTGCAGCCGAGTGCACTGAGCGAAATCGGGGCGAGGAAGAGGACCTCTTCCGCGCTGGCTCTTATCTCATCTATTGCAAAATGGAGCGGGCCATCACACTCCGTTAGATGACAATGACAAATGATGATGGAGGAGCGGTCGCAGGATAATCCAAAAAAAAAAACCAGAGCCCACCCAAAACCGTAACCAAAACCAAAACCCAACTGAAGTGAACAAAAAGCCTGCCTCTCGCTTTTGGCTTTCAATTAATCCGAGCAAGTGGCGCTTTTATTGAGCTAGGCCTGCCGCCATAATCAGTTGTGTTTTGTTCGCCACAAGAAAATAAAAGAGAAATCCCCTCGAAAAAAAACGATCCGCCCAAAAGGGTTTTATCTCGAAACAAAGGCGCCGAAATTTGCCTGCCATTCATTAAACAATGAACAACAAATCCAACTGGGGGCGTGGCACACTGCCGGGGAAATAGATTAATGGCCGCAGACAAGCCTGGCGAATCAATTTATAACACTGCCGACAGTTGACCGCACAACCAGGAAAAAGGTGTTCTTTTAGAACTGTAAAGGATATGAGCTATAAAAATAAACACAAAATAAAATAAGATTTTCTAGCATTGTATTTTATAATGCACCATAAATATTTTTTTTTAATTTGTTATATCTTCTTTATAACTTAAATTGCCTTAAATTTAACATTGAATTATTATTTAACAATTGCAATATTTCAATAGAGACTTCAAATAAAAAATTGTTTCAATGAAACTAGGTTTAAATATAGTAGGATTTTACCGCTCTAATCGAAGTCAAATATATAAGCAAATTTAATGGCTAATAAATAAAAAAAATAAAACAACATCTACTTGACAATAGTTCCTCCAAACATGAAAATGAGTGCACTTAAGCCTTACCCTTTTTTAGTACATACAAATTAAACCTCATTGAATAACTTTTTGGATTTAATTCTTGCAAAAAAAATACGAACTATACATAATCAATTTCTAGCTCTGGGATCACAGAACATTTCCGAATCCTAAAACTTGGCCTTGGAGCACTCAAACGGAGTGCAGCAGGGATAGCAATCCGGAGCCTTGATGCAGCTCAACCCAAATCGGGACAACTCGGCGGCCTCCCAGGCGCGATCCTCCTCGAAGAGGTCCATCAACCGCTGCCGCCTGGCACCCGTGATCAGCTTGTCCGCTGTGGTCATCTCCACACTCATCGGTTTCACCAGGAAGTTGACGATGGGACTTCCCGAGGGGGTCTTCAGAAGGTCGCGGTTGTTCAGCAGGGAGAGGCTATCGATAAAAGGGGGTTGAATTACCGCCATTCGAATCATTTCGGAATGCTCTTACAAATCCCCGGACTTCTTCATCTTGCGGTTGACCGAGTACTTTGAAGCAGTGTGTCTAATGTACAGTGATTGAAACACTAATGTAACCCAGCCGACAAACTTCTCCCGGCCAGGTTCGATGCCCCAATTAGGTAGCACACTAATCGAACGCCCCAGGATTGGCTGCAAGGAACTGGAAATTGTGTGCAGAGATGCAGCTGACTGACATTCAACACCATTTGCCACTCACAGAAGGTCAATCAAGTTTGCTGAGAGGCCGAACTCAAGGGAGCAGTTGGGAATCAAGTTAAAAGGGTCTACTCGCTTCCGTTAACAAGGGTGCTATTAACTCTAGACTCTGAGTGCAAGTGTTCGTAGACTTGCTGTTTACTTATACTTCGGATTGTTAAGTAGGTGCTTTAAATGCACATTGAAATAATTGGTGCTTTAAATATATACATTTAAAAAACAATGCCGAATAGTTGTAGTAATATATATACACATATATAGGCCAAACATTTATATTTATATATTGTTTAAGTAAAAGCCTTAAGCTATTTTAGTAGCAGTATATTTGGAGAGTAATTATTTAAAAACTAAAAAGAAATAATAATTATAAAACAAAAAGTTTTATTAAATTAGTATTTTATTATCCTTCAAAGAGATAAATTAGTATTAAAATAAGGAAAGCTAACCCCTATAAGCGGTGCAATTTAGGCCCTTATAAATATTAAAATCCCATTAGGTCGCTATTTCTTTGTTGTTAAATTTTCCAGAACGTTTTTATTTGGCATACAAAAATAAAAAGGATAAGGAATGGCCAGCATTATTTCTTGATTAGGCCACACCCACAAAGAAGATTTCAATTAACCCAGTGTCCTCCCCCCCACTTGTCTCCTAATTGCCCCTCTTTCACCTTCTGCATGCTACCCTCCGTTTGCCCCACAAATAATCCCCACAAATTGCACAGCGCGTAGAACAAACGATAAACAGACTAAGTAGTAGTGTGGTGGAGGCGGGGACAGCAAAGAAAGTAGATTGAAAAACAAGCCAAAACCAACACAAATCGTTGTTCGGCAATTTCAGCCAGCCCACACACACCTAGCCCACTATCCACCCACTTAACCGCCTCCCCAAAGCGCAAAGTCAGGTTCGAAAAAGGGGGCGGGAAACAGTCAGGTGTGTAATTGCAATCCGAATTGGTCAAGTGTAACAATGCAAAGACGCAGCTCACATCTCACAGCTCACACCTGCTGCTGCCAACCGGGGGAATCAATTTGATCCTTGAACTTAGGCAACAAACCGAATCTGCAACTTGCAACTTGCTGGCAATGGGGGATCGAGACTGGGAGGTATACACCCCCCAACCCCGCCACCCCACCGTGGAGAACAAAATCAAATTGCAAATTGCATCCGAAAATGTCACGTGCATCGACACATTTTTCGGAGCCAACTGTCTGAGGGTTCCTTTGGCCCGAAAACCGAGCGGAGATGTCGTGACATGGTCGACATGGGCAAAGGTTATTGCAATCGCCCGCCTGAGCAATCAGTGGACACCAGACACGAATGGATACCACCGATGGGGAGCTCCGGGCAGAGGTGCCCAGGAGGTGGATCAAACGCTGGTAGCACTTAAAAAATAGCCAAAAGTGTTTATATATCGATTTCCATAATTTCTCAGAATGAGGCTTCATTATTATTATTTTGAAATTATATTATGTAATTTAACCCTTTCAAATTCGTTCTTTAATATTCAACCAGATTGCTAGAGAAAATCTATAGGTAATTAAAAAAAAACAGCATAACCATAATAAATTTAGTAATTAAAGTAAATACAATTTGATTCTACATTTAAAATTATTTAAAAAATTTTAACAACTCAAACTTTTTAGATAGCAAATGTTAGACATGTAAATGATTCAAGAAATACATTAGTATACAATTAGTATCCAATATTCACGTTTTTTAACGAAATCTTTTATTTCATACATTAAGATTTATCTACAAAATAGTGAAGATGACAACACTAATTTCTAAGGGAAGGACTCGCAGTCTGCACCTGCAGCATCCTGCGCTCTTTGTCCCGTGGGTGAGGAGTGGGGGGTGGTGTTCGGGGGACGGAGTGGGTGGCCGCCCCATTCATTATGTTGACCACGCTGTCGCATTCGCTACGTGACATTCTGCTAACTGCCCTGAAAATGGAGCCAGGCCTCGTCGCACTTGGGCCATTGTCGGCTCAGCTTATAAACCTATAGCTGCATATACCCAATATCGGGTATCTACCAACAGCTCCAAACACTCTATAAGTCGATAGTACTGCTTAATGAAATTTGTGCCCTTATCCAAAATGATAAATTAACTTTTTCTTTATTTTCTATTTATCGAGTTTATGTGTAAATCCTTTGAATCCCTACTTTCTTTAAATTTATAGTCGTAAATTGTTTTAAATTTCAATTATTTTAAAAGTAAATAACTTTTTAATATCTTTTTCAATTCTAATTTTTTTAAAGTATTTAGTTATTTCTAAAAAAAAGTGTAAAATTGATTACTTTTTAATTGATATTTTTCTTTTTGTAAAAAATACATTTTGGTATTGACGTTTCTGTCAAGTGACCCATCTTACTGATACATACCCTTTTAAATACCATACCGATAAATGTCCTCCCTCCCACTCAGAATTAGATTGCAGTTAGTTCCCAGCCTGTTCCAGCTCATCCTAATCCATCCGCTCTCCGGCAGCTACTAATATGCCCATTGGGGACGTGATTGCAGCGATTCCATTCAGTCAGGCAACTGCATCATTGCGATATTTTGACCGCCTGTGAGACTTGACCAAATTGACTTGGGCTCGGAGCTTTGTCTTGCAATTGGAGCTTCCACTAACTGCCCTCGATCCCCGTGATGGGTGCAGTTCATCGTGCTGCCAAATTTATCCAATTGCATTGCCATTACACTATACAAAGTTATGGCAATCTCTCTCCGGAGAATCCAGCCAGCGGAACGGAAAGAAACAATGCGGGCGGAGACCCAGTTCGAAAGTATCGAGATTGCAACGGAACCGGCTTCGAATTGCAAGTAAATAAAGCGTCTGGGAAGCAACACCTCCGGCACATCCTCCCACAATCGCATCCTTGGAGCAGGAGTTGAGTTATGAACGTGCTGGGAGCAGCAAAGCGAACACAACACCCGCAATCCTGGAACACGAACTGAAAAGAGGGGAAGCCTTGTAAAGTAAATGTGCAAACATTTATTTATGTGGCCTGCCAAGAAGCACTTTAAAGCTCTGCAATTGCCCTGATTTCGGGTGGCGAGCACTGCGAGTTTATACACAGACCAGGAACTGGACGTAAACAAATGATTTGTAAAGAGAAGTTGTTTTAAAAAAAGAATATTACTCATTTTTTTTAAAAAGTTCAATTTAAAAAAATTAGAAAATTTGTTGTTTGACGTTTAAGTTTTGAGTATTTTAATTTATATAAATAAAAGTCTAGAGCTATATTGTGTTTGATTTTGTATCACACTCGAGGACAAAGTCGTGATAGGTATTGCTAATCTTTGATAAACTAATAAATTTCAGGCACCGAAAATAGTCGTTATATCTTAAATAAATATTAATTTAGGGGCTACCACTATTTTTTTATTTTTGGCTGATTTCTTGCACTTTGTAGACGAAAGTTTTGTTAGTAATTCTAAAAAGTCTAATACTTATTTTTTATCACTCATACTAATCAAAAATGATTCGCCATTTTCAGCTACCAAATTCAGTCAAATGAAATACAGCTTGAGGGAAACTTTTCCGAAACATTAAAAACATAGAAGCTCACCACCTTTGGTATACCTCGAAAATCATTACTTGGCACACATTTGGTCTAGGTTTTGTTCCTGCAGTCGCATTTCAATTTTAATGAGCACTTGAGAGTTTCACGTTTTTAGCCGTAACTTTAATTAACAACAAAAGTCATGGTCTTGGCCTGCCAAAAAATAAAAGAAAAACAAAAAGGAAAAGCAATGAAAGAGCTTAATTTGTAGGTGAAGGAAGGGCCCACAACAGGAGCAAGATGAAGGGGAGATGAAATAAAAAGACACATGAGGCCCGGAAAATTTCAAATGGAACTGCTGCCACGGTTTCTTCTGCTGCTTCCAAGGAACATGGGGCACATAAAAAGTAGCCAGCAAGTAGTTTTTGTGCTTGTAGTGTTGCTCCTCCGTCGTTTTTGGTTCCTGGCCCTGGAAATTGTTTTTTTTTTAGCCCTGAGTACGGGTACGGATATAAATACGGGTCCGGGCCACGGCTGCCGAAGTTGCTGCTGTTGGCGTTAAAAAAGCGGAAAATCGCAGCACATTTTTGCTTTTTAATTAAGCCCTCAATTTTTTATGTTCCTTTCGAAAGCGACACGCCGTGATTTCTCATCCACCCTTTTCCTCCCCCTTTTTTCCACATCCTAGGATTCCGGGCACAAATAGTTTACTCTTGCAGCAGCGGCATCCGAAGTGTAAATGTGCGTACATGGGTTAAGAGCTTGGGTGCAGCTTGACAAATTGTTCTTACTCTCCGGATTAAATTAAAAGGAGCCTGTTTTGTTCTTCGCTCTGTCACAGTCTGAGCTTCAGTTACACTTATCCGATATCAACATTAATTAAGAGTTGTTAATAGCAAGTTCTGGCTAAAAGTTGTTTGAAGCGATGCGTTTATTTCATTTACTTTGAGAGGGCATTTATTTGTGAGAGTTTTCTTCAGCCAGTAATATTCTCATTTCTACAAGTTTTAGTTGCTTACACAAATTTTGTACTTATGGTAATTTTAATCATTATAGGCTTTTTTAACAATAAAATCACTTTGAACACTCAAAAAACTGAAATGAAAATTTAAAATATTATTAAAAATATTGAATTTCCTACATTACTTTAGGAGCATGGTACAATACAATGTCAATGTACTTTAAAATTTTTTTTAATGGTCTTACTTAAATAATTACGTGTCAAACTTTAATGGCTAGAACTTAAAATTTTTTTATTTATGACAAAAATGTACACTTTACCACCCCTCTTATCTTACGTTTATAGTTTAAAATGGTTTCCTACCACAAAAAAGTTGTTACACACTAAGATAATCGCTTATAATTTGTTCAAATACATAATAAAGAAAAACGTAAATAAAACAACAGTGATAGCTAGCTTCTTAACACACCTCACGAAGCAATGCCATAAATATATCAGGTAGTCCTCAAAACCGATCAGTTCATTACAGACCAGTGTCGCGCGATGTTCGCTTGTAAAGTCGGTCAAAATAAATGCTAATTTGTTGGAAGCGATCGTTGAACTACTAAACGGCACGTGACTGCAATTGCTTCGAGTGCTTCAATAAAAACACCTTCAAAACAGAGACATTTCGGGTTACATTGCTGTGCTAAACCGGTTTCGGGAACTCGATAACGCGAAAGCTCAGAGTTTTGGGACTGAAACTGATCAGCTTGAAGCGGTGCAGTGCGTAGGAGTCCACCAGCCAGCCATCTGGACGCTCATCCCGGTCCTTGGCATCCGCGTCCAGCGCATCCACCTCGGACTCGCCCAGTTCCTTGCAGAAGGTGAGCACTAGTTCGGCTATGGCCAGGCGGCAGTGTTTCGGGTCGAACTCCTCTTGGATCTGCGAGTTCGCCAGCACGGTCTCAATCCGCCGGACCATCTCATCCTTCTCCTCAGCAGTGCCCAGATCCAGGAGATTGCGCAGGCCGACGAACAGCATGTCCACGAGGACATAGGACCGACCGTCGATCCAGCGACGCACCACTCTCACTGGGAGGGCATGTCGCAGGTGCTGCCTCTGAAAGATCACCAAACTGTCATGGGGTTTCTGATCCTGGGACAAGCCGTAGATGTCCGCCGATCCACGTTCCGTGCAGCAACTCCGGATGCAGGGCCAGTCCGCTTGGCGCACTGCCTCGATCATGGTGGCCGCCGCCTGGCGAGTCCCCTCCTGGAATCCGCCCTCGTCGAAGGCCACGCCCAACAGACGGCGGAGGCGCCACAGGCAGTAGCGGTGCCGCAGTCCACTGAGCAACTGCATCACGCTGAGCTTCCAGCGCAGTCGCCTCCTGGTCAGATGACCCAGACTGCGGTGTGGTTGAAGTGCGGCGCGGCAGAGCGTCTGAGGGGTGTTGGGACCATAGACCCGCGCTATACAGATAATTTTGGTGCGACTAGAGCCACGCAGAAACCTCAAAAACATATTGGAAACAAGAAAGACAAACTAGAGAGCAAAATGAACATAAAGAGAATAAGTCAAGACCTACCTGGTTTTCAAATAACCAAGCAAATTAAAATCATTAATTTTCGATCCATTTTCACTTCTCTCAGTAATAGAGACATTACCGACCATATAAATTATGTATATTCTTGATCACCATCAGCATCAACAATCGAGTCGATCCGTCCGCCATCTAGTCCCCTAGTTTTAAAACTTTCGTAATGAGACTTAGTATATATGTACGTATAGTAAGTCGGATCGCGGTGGATCAACTATATCAAATAGTTGCAAAGTACTCCTAAATATTCATTCGTTTTAAACGATTTCAAAAATTGTATAATTTAGTAATAATAATTATAATTACATTTTATAAAAGTGGGAAAAATAATAGAACAAAGAATCTAACTTTACCTTGCTATAAGTATATAACAATGAAACTGACCCGATTTCAAAAATACATTTACAAATTTTATACAAATTTAAGGATAAATTATATAGTTGCCATATGTTCGTTAAATAACATTCTAACAGCATTAAAATCACTAGTCGATTCTGAGAACAATATACTATATTTTCAAGGTTTTCGACTTCTTGTTTAATCTGCTGTTAAGCCATTCCCACTTCAGCATTAAGTTTAAGTTTCCCTTTTCCCTATACTTTTAAGACCATTTGAAACATGCTAAGCCTGATTCTGTCAAATCATTATAATCTCATTCTCTATTTACAGCATGCCGCAGCTCAACGGATTTTCCTGGATCTTCCTTATCCTTATAATTCCTTCTATCCAGGCTGCGTACGATCATTATCGGTTGCCCACTGCTCTGGAGCCTCTACACTATAACCTGCGAATCCTCACTCATTTAAATAGTACAGATCAAAGGTTCGAAGGCTCTGTAAAAATCGATCTTTTAACGCGAGAGTCGACCAAAAATATCACTTTGCATGCGGCAAACCTGAAGATAGATGAGAATCGTACGTCAGTGAGCTCCGACCAGGGAAAAAACGACGTTACTAAAATCGAAATAAATGAGGTTTATAATTTCTACATCCTGCACTTATGTCAGGAACTGGAAAAGGGTCAGATATACCAATTGGAAATGCACTTTGATGCAAGGCTAAATGATTCGTTAAGTGGCTACTACAAAAGTAATTACACCGATGAGAATACCAAAGAAGTTCAGTGAGTTTCATGGACCATTGTTCAGTTCATATCTAACTTTGTAAATCTTTAGTAACCTAGCAGTCACCCAATTCTCGCCTACGTTTGCCCGACAGGCATTTCCCTGTTTTGATGAACCGTCCTGGAAATCCACCTTCAATGTGACCCTGGGCTATCATAAAAACTTCACGGGTCTGACTGGTATGCCTATCCTTGGATGTCAAGATCAGTAAGTATATAAGTCTGGACTTCAGACTTTGGAGGTTTAAGTAAATTATTGCATTAGACACAAACAGGATCAATAAACAGGATTACTACTGTCCCTATCTACCTGTCTATCTTGAATATAACCCTCGCACTAAAATATATAGCAGTATAAATATTTTATATTAATTTAAACCTATTTTATTTTTGTATAATTAATAAAACTTACAATGTAACTTAAATTTCTTATTTTTTCAGTGATAGTCTCGAAAACTACATTTGGTGCGATCACGAGCAACTTCTGAGGACCTCGACCTATTTAGTAGCATATGCTGTTCATGATCTGAAAAATGCAGCCACCGAGGAAAGTCAGACCAGCAATAAAGTAATCATTCGCAACTGGATGCAGCCAAAGTTGCTGGATCGCGAAATTATTTCCATGGAAATGGCACCCAAGCTGCTTTCCTTTTATGAGAATCTTTTTCAAATCGATTTTCCTTTGGTGAAAATCGATCAACTCACTGTACCCACTCATAGATTTTCGGCAATGGAAAACTGGGGTCTGGTCGTCTACAACGAAGATAAGTTGCCGGAAAACCAGGGCGTTAATCTGCAGCAACAGAAGGATCGTACTGCCGAAACGGTGGCCCATGAGTATGCGCATCAGTGGTTTGGAAATCTAGTCACTATGAAGTGGTGGAACGATCTCTGGTTGAAGGAAGGTACATCCACTTATTTCTCCTACTTGGCCCTAGATTCCTTGCAACCTGATTTGACTAGGGGTGAGCGATTTATAGCTTTGGATTTGGGAACGTTTTTTGCCATGGACTCGGGGGGTACTGTGCCAGCCATCTCCAAGGAAGTGAAGAACTCTTCACAGATACTCGGACAGTTTACAGAGTATGTTTATAAAAAGGGAGCACTTACCATCCGCATGTTGCACAAGCTGCTTGGAGAGGAATCCTTTTTCCAAGGCATTCGTTCTTTTTTAAGGAAGTACTCACTGGGAAATGTGGATCAAGGAGATCTTTGGCAGTCTCTTCAGGAGGTATCAAAGCTAAATGGGGTTATTCCCGTGGACTTTAATCTAAGTAGGGCCATGGATTCATGGACTTTACAGGGGGGCTATCCCTTAGTTACCCTCATTCGAGACTACAAAACTGGCAGACTAACTCTTAATCAAACCAGATTCTACCAGGGCAAGAATATTTCAGAGGATTCACACTGCTGGTGGGTTCCCTTAACTTTTGTTAGACAAAATCATCCTGACTTTGAGCAAACTAATCCACAGTTTTGGTTAGAGTGTCCTTCTGCTACAAAAGTTTTGCAGTTGCCTGACCTCCCAGCCGCTGATAAATGGATTATTCTTAATCCCCAAGTTAGCACAATTTTTAGAGTTAACTATGATGAACACAATTGGGACCTAATAATAGAAAGTCTTTTGAATGATCACAATCATGGTGGTATTCACAAACTAAATAGAGCTCAGTTAGTAGACGATCTAATGGCGTTGGCCTCAGTAAAACTCCAGAAATATGACAAAGCCTTTGATCTGCTGGAATATCTGAAAAAAGAGAAGGACTTTCTGCCTTGGCAGAGAGGTGTTGGAATCTTAAATCACTTTGGAGCTTTGTTGCGTGGTCAGGAGGCAAAGGAATTTAAGGTGAGCTCTTTTAGATTGTACTAATTTATAATAATCCTAATTCTTTGTTATAGATCTATATGCAAAAGTTGATTTTACCGCTGTACAGTCGCTTTCCAAAACTAGCCGCACTATCAAGCCCCGCCATCAAAGATATTCCCTTATTGCAATTCGTATATTCCCAAGCATGTTGCTATCACGTGGATGATTGCATTAATCAGGCCAAGATATTGATCATGTCAAATTGGAATCGGTCCCAGGTTGAGTTGCCCTCCCATTTCCAGAAGATTGCCTACTGTTCGTTTTTGGAAGAGGGCGGCGAGATGGAGTTTCAGAAGATATTTAGCCTCTTTCAGAACACCACAAATTCTGCTCAGAGGCGGATATTTGCATCGGCCATCGGCTGCAGTCGTAATTTTAAACATTTCGAGCAGTTTCTGGACTTTACTTTTAAATCAGAGGAGAAACTTTTTAGCGATTGTTATATGCTAGCAGTTACGACAGCCTTGAGTCGAGAATATATGGTTACTCCCATAGGAAACTATATTTTAAGCAATGCAAAAATCCTGGGGTAAGTTTAAAATGTTATACTTATTTATATTACTTTATTATGCAATGGAATTCCCTGCAGTAAAAAGTTTAAGAAGAAAGAGCTCAAAGGACTATTGGTCAGCTTGGCGGAAAATCTTCAAAGTCCTGAGGAATTGGAACAACTTAATGTGCATTTGAAGGATCTCAAGGAGTACGAAGAACCTCTAAAAGAGGCCCTCAAACTGGGTGAAATAAATCAGAAATGGCATAAGGATTGCTCCAGTGATTTTAGTGAGGCTCTAAGGAAACGTATATAATATTTCACACTAAAAATTAAAATAATTGGGATTTTATTGCCTTGTATTACAAGCCTGACAATCTGGAAATTAATATTTTAAATATATTTTATATATAATATTTTTGTACTCTCAATTTATTATATATATTTTTGACATTTTGATTATAATGAATTAAAAAGTGAAAGCTATAACATTATAAATTTCTGAATTACATACTGTTCATATTTGTTAAACACTCCTACTAATCGTTCCTGATAAAAAGTGTTGTTATAATAGAATTTTCATTCACAAAAAATCCATTTCTTAAGTTTAAATAAGTTTTGTGGACCTATTCCCGACTTTTGAAAGGAATTCCAGTGCCAGTACCTGTGTAAACTCATTGTGGCTAAGATTCGGCGAGCTGTCAAGTTCCATGTTTTCGGTATTAATTAAGGCAATGGCGATGAAATCTTTGAGCCGGCATTGAAAGGAATGCGATTTGGGGGGAGGGCAGGACGGGGCCTAAGGAGGCCAGCTGTCAGAAACGGATCCTGTCAGGACTTTGACTGGTGGATTGCCTGACACGGGACACACACCGACACTATTCGTCCGAGCGGCATCCATCTGCAGCTCCTTTGTTTTGGCGGAGCTGTTTGGTTCCTTCTGGCATTTGACGTTTACACGGGTACGTCAAAATATGTATTCCGTCCTGCCATTTCCACCGATGATGACATGTGCAAAGAACATGGAAATGGCGGCCCGGCATTTAGTTATCCCCTTTGTTTAACGCTTCCAGTTCCTGTCATCTGGCTTTGGAACAGGGATTGGAGTACGAAAAGGAATAGGAATAGGGATCGAGATCGGGATCCACAACTGTCAGCCAATTAGCCAAATTAATCGCTCGTAATTGATGTGCCAGGGGGTTAATGGATTGCATTGCAAAAGAGAGACTTAAGGCGTCAATCAGGTGAAAGTATATGTCAATTGCATCCAATTTGATGGCTTATGCAATCTTGTAGTCACTTCAACTATGCAATCTTGTAGTCACTTCAACTAAGCTTGCACTTACTAACAATCACTGACTTGTTTATGGACTGCTTCAGCAGACAATAAGGAATATTTTCCAGAATTTAAGCTTACAATCGCCCGGAGATAATAAAGGCTAATTCAATTGAAAGCTTTGGAAGATGCTCAGTAATTTACAATTAATACAATTAATAGATAATAACTTGGGAGAACGGGAGCTGCAAGGATAGATGCAAAATATTTGTCATTAAATTAATTCTGTGATTCTGACTAAGAGGTTCTTAGCTTTGCGAAATAAATGTAAAAAATTAAGAGTTAAAAACCTTTTAAAAAATTCCGTTGGCAGTAAAATTCATTCAAGTAAATATTGCGCTGAATCAATCAATTGATGACCCATAATTGAAACCACAAAGGGAATCCATATGCACATACATCTTATATAGTATGCATCGCTATATTTGTTGGGAAATGCATACGAAAATGCAAATGAAAAGTGGCCCTGTCAGAAAAATTAACGCTATTAATGCTTGTTAAAAGCGGATATTAAATTAATTAAATGTGATGCCAGCTTGACGTGCGTGTAGAACAGAACAGAAACAGAGCAGAACAATTTGGTCCGGGGATGTGCAAATGTTTTTCGACACACACGGACTCGGATGTCGGATTATTTCATGTTAAATATTTACCCTGGACATCGGCATTTTTAGCGCTACTTTTTGCTTATTTATTTATCACAAATTAATTGAATTTGACCGCGTCAGAAAGCAAGAGCGGTGCAAATGTCAAATTAATTGTCGATTTAAGTATTCTCCAAAAACATATGAATGCGTTAGTCGACTAAAAAGTAAAGAATTTTAAAGTATTTTCTTTTTTTGTTTTCTCTCATATATCTGAGACTATGGAGCTTTATAATGTGGGTCAAATGGAAATATCTAAAGGTAAATCTGATATAAATCTATATTTGTTTTTAATTATATAGCATGTATTATAGATATAGCTACAAAGCGAACTACAGATAGAAAGAACAAAGTTTTGTGTTACAAAAAATAAATATTCTATATTTCGACTTTGTTGCTTGAAAACAATTTCCGATAAATTTTTCAATTGCTCCTATGGCAGCTATATGATATAGTCGTCCGATTTTTATAAAAGCTAAATTAAAACGATCCGGCCATTTATAGTTTCTGCATCAAGAATATATATGTACATATAGTGTCGGAAAAACGCCCTTCACTACGTTGCAAACTTTTGACTGAAATTATAAGAGGGTATTGTAAAATGGTATAAAGTATAAAAACAGTTATCCTTGCATCCCTTTGGATTTCGTAACTTTAAAAAACTTTTGTTTCTTCGACTAATATAAATTTAATAATATATTTACCTCCAATTTGAACAGTATACATTTGACAATTTGACATTTGGCCTAAACAGAAAATATTCCAACTCTTGTATAATTTTGATAGGAACTTTATAAGACTTATATTCTTGAATCATTTAAGTGTCAAAGAATAATTAAGTGTTTTGGTAAGTCATTTTTAATTTGAAAGTTGAAAATTTGGTCTTCTTGAAGTATTTAATTTTCCCATCTAAAATTGATGAATGCTAGTATGTGAGTAATTTGAGGATGAAGTTTTATGCTTGGTTAGCTCTTTTCAATGCCAGATGCCCGGGGCTAAATTTGGATTTTAGCTGCAATATGCCTTGACTGCAATTCGGGGATCCTTCAGCTTCTGCAGCTTGGCACACAATCAAATTTTGGACGTTAATTAATATGCATTCAGTGCCTGGCAGGGCAGGGATCAAATTATGTAATAGCCGCATTAAAATTGAATTTCTCGATGCGTGCCTCGCAGATTGCTCCTGAGTGTGTGTGTGTGTGGGTGTATCTGTCCAGTTCGGTTTGCCAGTGTGTGAATCCGTGTGCGTATCCATGGACTTGGTTTTCTGTGCACGTGGCACTGACGCAGGACCTCCACTCGCTGTCCATTGGAAAATGGAAAACGGTCTAATTACCCCTAATTGAATACGACAAGCTTGCACCCACGGAACCCCGCACCCCATTTAAGTGAGACAAATTATTTGTGTGTAGCTGCAATTGCAATTCAATTGGAGTGTTTAGATTATCAATTCTTGGCAAAGATTTGTCGATTATGCTGTGTGTCCGGCAATCGGGTCAATTGCTACTCCCAAGGAGTTGTAAACGTGATTACCATTGTGCTCAAATGCGAATAGGTTAATGGGCTTCATATTTTCTGGGGATGGGGTTTTTGTTGATTGTATTTTACTTCACCAACGACGTCTGTCAATTATATCCAAGATGGCACATTATTATTAATTAAATAATTGGCAATTTGCCACCTGCAATTTATTTTATCTCCGATATATAAAATGTTTTTAAACTATCTTGCTAAAATAATAAATCAATTGAAAGGTTAAATAAATGTCTTAAAATAAAGTAATATTAAATATAAATATTATATATAAATATAAATATTAAGGCTTCTAATTATTAATTTTTCTTTTAACTCTGGTTCCGGACCGAAATTCTTTTAGCTGTACAAATCTATTACACATTTTTATAAAACTATAGATACATTTTGAAATACTAAGAGTTATAGATGTATACCATAATCTTTTTACTATTTGTATACTTGCTTTATATTTATTATTCTTCGTTCGTTTTACATTCTTTATGTTCTTGCCATTAATAGACTTCAGATTTTTAAATACTTCTTTTCATTGCTAATTTCTTTCTGCACAAAGCTCCTTTCATAACTTTTAGTATGAGTCATTTTGAAATGCATTTTAAAGCCCTCACTGAACTTAGAAACCTTTTCATTGCACTGGCCTTTTACCTGCCAAGTTTGCTTTCTTTTTAGCCCGTTATTGAGGAAATATATTTCAATTAGTGCATTTTTCCCTCGTAAGCTTTGCTGCTTCATTGTTCTTGGGCTTTTTAGATTTTCCATTTTCCCTGCTGCTTGTTTGTTTGCCTTTCGATGGGAGATGTCGATGCTTTTTATTGTCTAACTTGTGTATTACATTTTGTTGATGTCGTAAATTAAGGCAGATCGGGGTGTGAGTGTTCATTGTTCGTTGTTTTAATGGCGCCAAGGGGAAATAAATTCATTAAAAACTTTTGGCCAATGCGAAAATCCTTTTTATTGACTTTGGCCGGGCGGTTCGGTGGTTGCGTGTGCAAATATTTATGCAAATATTTCTGCACTGGCTAGCATGTTTTGATTGTGCGGGGTCTGATGCATATTCACAATCCGAATCGAATCGATTTGCTGACCGAATGCGAGTGTTTCCACCTTGCCCCACCGCCCTCATCATAATCAGAGCGAAAACTTTCTTTACATTACTTTACATTTATTGCTTCCTTCCCCGGGCCCCAGTACTTTTGTTTGAATTCTGGTCGAAAGAAATAGAACGTGAAAACTATTTCTTGCTGGCGCCTCCAGGCTGCGAGACATTCAAGAAAGTTGCCACAAAAGGGGAAACACGACCAGAAGCCCAAAAACTTCCCTTGTCCGGCTAACGGAGAGACGGACGGACAGAGCCGGGAAAAAGGAGAGGGTCCGGGACAAAGAGATGGCAACTTACAAATTTAGATTACGAGGCAAGCACAATTGCCACACATGTTTGCACAAATGCTGGCTGGATTGTTTAATTTCGTTTAATTAAATTGCAAATATTTTATTGCTGCAACTTGCAACAGAAATTCTCCTTGTAGAGTTTAAATTTGTGTGGCACCATCTTGCACATGCGGCACTTCACTGGCATTATGTGTAACTGGGTGTTTTCATCTGTGAGTGCGTAAAGGCATTTGTAAGCACTTTAAGGACTCAAATCCTTTAGATAGTAAGTCATTAAAGTGATTTAAATATATTCATCTAAATATATTGAGCTGATGGAGGTAGATCTGAATCAGGTCAAATTAATGATTTCGAAATTGTAGCTAAAATGATGTTTATTTGAAATTAATTAAGCCTTATTTATAAAAGAAATTAAAACCCTTTACAATTATAGGTGTAAGTATAAGAATGAAATACCTTTCT